TTCTTGACATTGAGCCTCAGTCCATATTGAAGGCTGCAGTCCTTGACCCTCTGCAGTAAGTGCATGAGGTCCTCCTCAGTTTCAGCGAGCAAGGTTGTGTCATCTGCATAACGCAGATTGTTGATAGATCGTCCACCAATCCTAATGCCATGCTTCTCCTCATAGAGCCCAGCCTCTGCCGCATACAGGTTGAAAAGGTATGGAGATAGGACACATCCCTGACATAGACCCTTCCCTCATAGGCATAAAAATCATGAGTCTACATCTGTCGATAGTCAAAGCTGCGGATGCATCTTAGAATAGGAAAAAGCCTCTTCCCACACTCTATATTTTTTTTAAGTTTTCACAGAAATATACCTTTCCAATATCTTTGAAGAGGAAACATTGTTCACACAAACAACCATTGGTTTTTAAATTTCACAGAGAATCTACAAGTCCCCCAGTTTGGTCTTCTATAAAATGCAGGAATCCTTTCTGTAATAATCAAGGCCAGATGTTATAAACTGGCAGCCTGAAGACTATCTGTAGAAGACACACATAGTCTATTTAACCTGAAAAGAATATTTTGGTAAAATAAAAATGACAAGAAAAAGAAAAATCCAGACTTCTGCCTTTGCTTGAAAATCCACCTGGAGCTGAGTGTCTGCTGCAAATTTTGAAGAGGCATGCTGTCTGCTCTTCCATAGCTCCCACCATGTCCACTGAACCCACTTCATTTACCTGCTTTCAGCACCCAGCCACTCAAATCTGGGTATGACTACAGCTCCAGAGAGATAGTTATTCACTATGTGGCTTAACACCGCCACGAGTGGGGAGAAAGCTCACAACATTTTTGGGAAGCCAAGAACAAAGTCGGTTCTCTCTTCTGCAGGAAACGATAACTCGTCTTCTTAGGTATTCAGTTTCGGCTTAACTGTCACAGAGCTCCTCAATTATTCCTCACAATGTGATGCCTCCAAGCCCATTCATTGCACACTCCTTTGAATAAATGAATTCTATTTATGATTTATCAATTAATGATAAATTACATGAGCATTTATTATTTATTTTATTCATAAAAGCTAATATTTCCTTGCTCAATACCAGTAACATTTTTGTCTCAGGACCCTTTTACACTCATAAAATTCAGTAAGATTCCAAAGAGCCTTTAAAAGATTTTCATCTATCCACATTCATTATATTCAACATTCAAATTAAAAAAATGTTTAAAAGCACTTAGTTTTCAAATACAAGACAAAATGCCATATTGCTTAAAGGAAAGAAAAACGGTCTGATGTATAAAACAATGTTTATGAACTTTATTAACTTTGTATGTAAACCAGTAAAAAATAAACTTGGAAAAAATACTATACTGCTATAAAAATAAGTATAGCGCCACTGTTGTAGAATGGGACTGACACAGGGTTGGGGTAAGACTGAGAAAAACTGGATAAATTATGTATACTGCATTAAAATAGGGAGAGGACAGTTTAGAAGTGATATATTATAGGGTATTATGGTTATCACAAGAGTCCAGAATTAAGGTTGCAGAGTGGAGTGCACTCGGGATGGGGGGATGGGGGATTGTATAACAATGAAGGAATTTTTCTTTTACTTTTCAAAGAGAAGAGCAAACTGGAAGGTGGGGAAAGCAGGGAGAAAAGTGCAACAATGAATGAATGGAAATCCAAAATCTCTGTAAATGTTTATTAAAATTAATAAAATACAATTTAAAAAATAATTATAATTTCAAAACTAAAAATAGTGAGAAAAGGCATTGTCCTGCTTTTTTGCAGATTTTTTCAATTTACACTTTGATAGAAGACAGCTAGTTTCTTCTATTCGCATTTGTACTCAATCGGTTGCAATATCAGGTTGCCTTTGGGTTAGTCGCACAACTTCTTATTCATTAGGCTACCAGAGTCCCTCAAAAACTCAGGAGAAAATGATAAAAAGACTAATAATGTTGTTGTTATTGATGATGATGATGTTATGTGCCTTTGAGTCGCTTGTGACTCATAGCTATCCTATGTACAACAGCCCTAAACCCTGCTCTATCCTGTGCCAATCGCATTGCCTCTGACACACCTACACCCATTAACCCAGTCACTGAATCAATCCATTTCATCCAAGGTCTTCCTCTCTTGTGCTGTCTTTACATACTCCCAGGCACGATGTCCCACTCCAAGGACTGGTTACTCCTTGCAACATTCCCAAAGCATGCCAGATGAAGCTTCAGAATCTTTGCCTCCAAGGAGCATCCTGGTTTCACCCTCTCTCGGACAAACGTCACTTTCAGCAAACAAGGTTGTGTCATCTGCATAATGCAGGGTATTGATGAGTCTCTCTTCAGTACTGATGCCACACTCCTCCTCATAGAGCCCAGCTTCTCGGATAATTTGCTCCACACAGAGAGAAAATACAACCCTGGCACACTCCCTTCCCAATTTCAAACCATGACCATGCAGTGATCCCCTGCTCTGTTAGCACAACAGCCTCATGGTCTAGGTATAAGTTCTGCATGAGCACAATCAAGTGCTCTGGGATTGATTCCCATTCTTCTCAATGTCAGACACAACTGTCATTATCCACATAGTCAAACGCCTTTGCATATTCAATAAAGCACAAATAGACATTCTTCTGGTATTCCTTACTTTCATCCAGGATCCATCTGACATCACCAGTGATATCCCTCATGCCACAGCCTCTTCTAAATCCTGCTTGAACATATAGCAGTCCCTTTTCTATGCACTGTTCCATCCATTTTTGAATGATCGCTAGCAGTCTTTTGCTTGCATATGTTATCAGTGATATTGTTCAATAATTTCCACATTCATTTGGATCACCTTTCTTGGGAATGAGAATAAATATGGACCTCTTCTAATCCATTGGCTAGAGAACCATCCTCCAAATTTCCTGGCATAGACTCATGAATACTGTATCTGTTAATTAAAACAAGTCAATCGGTATCCTATCGATTCCTGGGGCCTTATTTTTAGCCAATGCCTTCACTTATCTTCTACTTCCTCCTTCACTACCATTGGCTCCTCTTCATGTGATACTTCCTGGAATTTTTCAACCTTGCTTGCTGAAAGTGAGGAGGACTTGAAGCACTTGTTGCAGAAGATCAAGGAATGCAGCCTTTGGTATGGATTTGCATCTCAATGTCAGGAAAACAAAGATTCTTACCATTAGACTAAAAGGCAGCATCATGATGGATGGAGAAAAGATTGAAACTGTCAATAGCTTCATCTTGCTAAGGTCCACAATTAACACCCTTGGTACCAGCAGCCAGGAAATAAGATGAAACATTACACTAGGAAAATCTTCAGTTAGGGACCTTTCCAAATTATTGAGGAGTAGTGATGTCAGTTTGAAAATTGAGGTGCATCTAATTCAGGCCATAGTCTTTCTAATTACTAGCTATAAATATGAGAGATGTACAATGAATAAGGATGACAGAAGAAGAATGACACCTTTGAGATGTGGTGTTGGAGAAGAGCATGAGCCTATCATTGTCAGCCAAGAGAACAAACAGGTATATTTCTTGTTGCAGCCAAAGTGCTCTTTGGAGGCAAGAATGATAAGAATTTGCCTCACATACTTTGGACATGTTGCTAGGAGGTGCTTTTCCTTGGACAATGACATGATGCTGGGAAGGGTGGAGGATTAGCGATGGAGAAGAAGACCCTCAACCAGGTAGATTGATATGGTGACTGTTTCAATGGGCTCTTGTGTGTCAGGAAGTGTGAGGATGGCAAAGGATAGAACAGGGTTCAGATCTTTTGTTCACAGGGTCACTTTGTGCTCGACTTGAAGGCACCTAACAACAACCAACAACAACAAGGAAAAACCTGTTTGTTCTCCTAATAGTCCATGGTATATTTAATACCTTTCTGCACCACTACAGTTCAAAGGAATCAATTCTCCTGTCATCCGTAGTCATTGTCCAGCTTTCTGATGCATAAAAAATTAATTGCAAAGACTGTGGCCTGGATCAGGAACACGTTAGTCTCCACACTGATGTTGTTGCTCTTCAGTATTCAGAAGAGGTCTCTGACAGCAGACTTTCCCAATGCAATTCATCTTTTAGTTTCCTGGTTGCTGGTATCAAGAGTGTTGATTGTAGAGCCAAGCAAACTGAAATTGTTAACAATCTCTTCATCTATCATGGTGTAGCCAATCAGCCCAGTAATATCTTTGTTTTCTTGATCTTGAGCTTCAATACATATTACCTTCTGCAGCAAATGCTTCAGGTCCTCCTCAGTTTCAGCAAGCTTGGTTGTGTCATCTGCATAACACAGACTGTTGATGAGTTTTCCTCCAATTCTTAATGCTACATTTCTCCTCATAGGGCCCAGCCTCCTGGATGATCTGTTCAGCACATAGATTGAAAAGGTATCTCAATCTCTCTAGCATCCAGGTCATCTTCTTTTCCTCTGTCCTTTTCTTATGCTTGGGATAAGCGAATTACAAGTCCTTTCTCACAAAAATTTCTGTAACACCAAACATTCCCCCTCTTGAAACAAATGCAGATCATAATATATTTCATATCAATTTCATTTTGCTGGTTTCGGGTTACGTTAGTGGATGTTATGAGTGCCTCATTCTCGTGCCCCTTATAGCTGGTGCACTCATCAACTCAGGTGTTGTGACTGTTGGCTGATCACTTTATAGCTGCCCCTGCTCTACTGAATTAATCTCAATAAAAGTGGAGCCACGTTGCAGTCATTTAGCCAATGATTTTCTGAACATTGATTGTCACAAAATTCAGAAGATCACCTCTAATGTCAAAACACAAACCTATTTCCATGGAGTCAATTTCAACCCATAGTGACACTATAGAACAGAGGGTAGAACTATTCTATGGAGATCCAGTGGTAATATGCACATCTCCTGGCTCTGATTATAATTTTTCCCCTCTTGTTTATATTTTAATCTTTTACAAGCTCAGGTTGTGCTCTAATAGATTTGTTGACAAGGTCAAGCTACCTTACCTTAATTCTTTATCCTTGTGCTTTTGCCCCAAATTATTAACTCTGTTGGGACTTTTGAAAATGGCTTTTCTAGCCACTGCCTTAGCTTTTTCTGAGGGTATAGTCCCCAGATGCCTCAACTGTAGACACATGGCTCACTCTTGATCACCATCTTCTGTATCATCAACAGCTGTTGGATCAACATAAGAGGGAAAGCTGGTAAGACTGCAGAGACACAGTGATGAGGTATAACCTGATGAATCCCTGGAAACAGCCAGAGTTGAAAGTTCTGGTTGCTGGACAACTGAAGGAAGAGTTGATTTGGGATGCTATGAGACAAAACTTGCTGGACAGTTGAGGAAATCAGAGGCTTCTTGCATTTGTGTTGTTGGACTGAACCTGGATTTTCACTTGTTGACTGAAAAACTGAACTGAGGGATTTTGTCTTGTTAATCCTCCTTGGAACTGTTGGACTAGGCCTAGTCTTTCACTATGTGATAGCCTTTGTCTCCCTCAACCGCTAAACTTCCTCCTAAATAAAAAGCACAACTCTTGCAATGAATATCAAACCCAGTGATTAATAGCAGACGCAGCAGAGTTGAGGGTCAGGTCTGACCCTGTAGCTATTATTTTGGTACTGTAGATGTTTTTGATGAGACAGTCCCCTTTATGGAGTTAGTAGAACTCACACTCAGTTTTTTTCAAGTTGCTCTTGCTTCATTTACAAATTCCTAACAATATGGGCATCCTATTAATAATAAAGCAAATCCATGTCATCAATAACAACAAAAACAGATAGCAGTGCTCTCTTAACTCTACAGAAGCATTTCTGTGGAGTTTACTATCACTTATTCGTTTATCCCTATTACTTTGGTATGGCTATTCAACTACCCACAAATAAAACTGAGCATTAGAAGAAAATGTAGAAATATTTTAGCCCATTATATTGTTTCAAATTACTAAGAGTTGTAGTCAGTTACTAATAGTTTATCATCAATCTTCAGGACAGAATTGATTTATATATTTTGGTAAGAAATAATTGAATATTAAGAATAATATTAACTTTTGCAATTATATAAGAAATCATGAAGTTCATTAATTGTCACAAAACAACCAATAATTTTTCATGATTGACAGAACTAAGCCTACTTATTGCTGAATTTGATAATTTTTACAAATTAAGATTACACATCCTTTGAACCCATTTGTCTATCATCATACAATCCCTCTCAATTAAACTTGCTTAAATATTGTATTTTTTAAAAAACACCAGTAGCCTAGTGTATTGTTAAAACTTTATATGATTGTTCTCCATCTTATTCCACCTACAAAGATATCTAAAGTGTCATAATATTTTCTACTGAAGTTATAAATAGGAATACTAGCTATTATGGGGGGAAAACATTTTTTTCTGAGACAGTTAAAAATAAAAAGCTCAATTTCAAATAATATCTATAATAATACTGCTAAATAAATTAAAATTATCAACAAATATATGATGGGGAAAAAAAACAAACCCAACCAACAATAACAAGCTTTAAGCATGAACTACACAACTCTGGCCAATTGTTGATGTAGGAAAGGAAGATATTAAATATGCATTTCTAATAAATGCTATATAATGGCCTAATATATTATTTTTAACATAAAGGTAATTCTTAGCTGTTGTCTACACCATTTTAGTGAGATGGTATTTGCAGTGGTAGAATCTCTTACCTTCCAACTAAAAAGCTCTCTGCATCCTTTAGAAGGCAGGGAAAAACATGATTAAACAGAATTACAGAAACTTTGTTCCTTTTGACTTTCTTGCTTCTCTATCCACACTCCTGCTTTCACTTGCATTATTCTGTTGTTAGCTGCTGGTAAGTTGCCCCCAACTCATGAAACACCCATGTTGTTGTTGGTATGTGCCATCGAGTCGCATGCGACTCATAGCTACTCTATGTACAAAAGCCCTAAACTCTTCCCTGTCCTCACCATCTCTGAAACACCTACCCTCATTACCCCAGTCATTGAATCAATGCATCTCATCAAGGGTCTTCCTCTCCTGTGCTGTCCCTCCACCCTCCCAAGCATGACGTCTCTCTCCAAGGAGTGGTCCCTCCTTCCAACATGTCCAAAGTATGTCAGACGAAGCTTCAGAATACTTGCCTCCAAGGATCAGGCTGGCTTCACCCTTCCAGGACAAACCTGTTCATTTTCTTAGCAGTCCATGGTATATTCAACACTCTTCTCCAACACCACAGCTCAAATGCATCAATTTTCCTTCTCTCATCCCTAGTCATTGTCCAGCTCTCTGACGCATAGCAAGTGACTACAAAGACCATGGCATGTCTCAGGTGCACCTTAGTCGCCAGATTGACATCGCTGCACTCCAGCACTTTATGGAAATTCCATAAATATCCTTAAACTCTTGGCGATGCTGGGTCATCCATTCCCATGATCAGCTGTAAATTAGATTGTTATCCTCTTAGAGTTTCACTGACCAGTTTTTAGAAGTAGATCACCAGAGTATTTCCTAATCCATTTTAATCTTGAAGCTTCTCTGAAAACTACACAGCATCATAGAAACATACATGTCTCTGCTGACAAATGGGTGCTGGCTATGACATGAGGTACACTGCCTCAGATTTGAACTGGATTCTCCAGCATGAACAGTAAGAATTCAATGACAAAACCACAATGTCTTTTTGCTTAGTTTACAGTATAATCATAAAACAGATAACTGTATTTGTCACATTATCATAGATATAAATAACAATAAAAGAATAACATTTTATTCTTCTTAAGTCCAGCCTAAAATAAACAAATAGGGTCTGTATTTAGAATGGGAAAACTTTCAAGGTTGCATTGCTACCAAGCTGCTAAAATTATGAAACATAACTAAATTCTCGTTCCAAGTTTAACATTCTTTCTAGTGAAGCTATTCTGAAGGAAAAACTTCTAATAAGCAGTCCAAATTTACTATGTGTTAAAAATAAAACACTGGAAATTGACTAGAAGACATAGACCTTATTAGATTCCATTCCCATAAATATATGGAAAGCATAAACTACTAAAAACCCCATCCGAAATTTCTCTTCTAAACATTGTTGATTTTTCTATCTGTATTGATTTCGGAAAAAGAGACATTTTTTCTAATAGGAACTAAGTTACATTAGAATTGAATCAATTCTATATATGTCATTTGATAACTCTTTATAGCAAAAGACAGAGATCCTTCAAATGAACTGGCTCTAGGAAAGCTAAACCTAAAGGTTTAGTCGAATAATAAATACATAGTGTGTCAGGAAGTGTGAGGATGGCACAGGATACAACGGGCTTCAGATACTTTGTTTATAGGGTGGATATGAGTCATACTTGATTCAACAGCATCTAACAACAACATTATTGCATTATAAACTGCTATAGGTTTATAGTTTAAGGCAGATGTCTGGGTTTGAACAGGATATACAAATCTAAACAACAATCCAACTCATTGCTGTAGAGTTGTAACCAACTCATCACTTATTAATTAATTTGCTAATTGTACTCATGAGGAGCCTATATAGAGACCAAGACACTCATGTCCAAATGGAGCAAGAGAACAGTGTGTGCTTTAAAATCAGGAAAGATGTGTATCAGGGTTGTACTGTTTCTCCTTACCTATACAATCTGTATCACGAGCAAATAATTCAAGAAACAGAACCATATTAAGAAAAATGTGGCATCAGGAATAGAGGAAGACAAATCAGCAACCTATGTTATACAGATGATATAACCTTGTTTTATGAAAGTGAAGAAAACTTAAAACACTTGCTGCAGAAGTTCAAAGACTAGAGCCTACAGTATGAACTACATTTCCATATAAACCCCCCCCCAAAAAATATCTTCACCACTGGACCAACAGGCAACATCATCATAGATGGGGAAAAATAATGAAGTTGTCAATGATTTCCTTTTAGTTGGATCCACAATCATTACGCTTGGCAACAGAAGTAAAAAAATCAAAATATAGGTTGGATTGGAAAAATTTGCTGCCAAGAACCTCTTCATAGTAGTAAAAAATAATGATATCAGTTGAAAGACTAAGGCATGCCTGATCCAAACCATAGTTTTTTCAATTGTTTCCTACCCATCTGAAAGTTGGACAATAAATAAGGACGACAGAAGAAGAATTGATGCTTTTGAGTTTTGGTGCTGGAGAAGGGTACTGCATATCCAATATATTGCCAAAAAACCCCAAACAAGTTTGTCTTAAAGGAAATGCAAACAAGTGCTCCTTACAAGGCAAGGAGGGTGAAATTTATTATCTCATGTGCTTTGGGCATGTTGCCAGGAGGGGTTAGTCATTGGAAAAATACATCATGCTGGGAAAGGTAGCGGGTGAGAAAGAGGAATACCCTCAACAAAATGGATTGACACAATGGCTGTAACAATGGGCTCGAGTAAGTAAAAGATTATGAGGATGGCTCAGGATAGTTCAAGGTTCAGAGGTGTAGCTCACGGAGTCACTGTGAGTCATGACCAACAGAACAACAAAACAACAGCAACATTCCTGACCCTGCTTTGGGGTCAGGAATTACCCTTAAAGAGATTGATCATTTTTCTCCCAGAGAACTGTTGGTGGATTCAGACTGCCAGAGATGTAGCCTTTGGGTTAGTAGAGCAACTGCCTAAGGCATACTCTAAAAGTGGAAATAAATACTGAGAAGAAAAAAGCAGCTAAAAAAAATCTTTTTATGATTATTGTTGTTAGGTGCCTTCAAGTTGAGTACAAGTCATTGAGGCCCTGGGGACATCAGACCTGAACCTGGTCTTGTACCACCCCCATACTTCCTGATACACTAGCGCCCATTGCAGTAGTCACGGTGGCACATGACTAGAAGGGTGGAATTACTTTTAGACTATGAATACAATTCAAGTAAATATGAAAGTTGTTGTCATATGCCACCAAGTTGTCTCCAACTCATTGTGACCCTATATAGGGGTGTGTAATAATAATCCTTTAACAATTGTTTCTGTTATGTGGCTGGAGTGAAGGGAATGCTTGGCCATACATCAAGATCAGGTACTGAACTAGCTTTATCTGCACTTTAAATCTTCCTCTGTTTTTTGTAAAGAGATCGATTGAGATGACCACCAGAGGAATGATAATAAAGGAAGCTTACAA